AGTAAAAATGCTTCAGACTCTTAATGACATGTTTGCTGCGTCTAGTAGTTTTGCTGGACAGAATGCAATCGGTGCAGTTTTTGCTAAGAGTCTTGTTAAATCCAAGGGAAAACCCAAGGGTGGTAACAAGAACAAAATAACTTGGTTATTAGTTGTCAAACAAGTTGCTATGAAGAAGCCGCAAGGCAAGTTCTTCAAGTGCAGACTGAAGGGACACTGAAAGAAAAATTTCCCAGAGGTGATGAAAAGAACCAGACATGGGTATATTAAGGCCTGATCAGTGAATGAATCATCGATTCAGGAATCACTGATTATGTTTGTTACTCTTAGCAGTAGTTCAAACATGGTATGCCTGTCAGTAGTGGACAAAGATATTTTAAGCTTGAAAATGAGAACTTTTGTCTGCATTTGCAGTAGGACAAGTTATTTATAAGACTATGGTTTTGGGAGACTGTTTATTTGTTCCAGATTTCAAGAGGAATTCAATTTTTGTTAGTTGTTTTGGTTAAAACATGGGTTGACAATGCAATTGATTCCTCAGTTACATTTCGAAGTTCATCTTCGTCTTGTTTGTTCTGGTACATTGTTTAAATAGTCTTTATTACCTATGTCCTATAACCTTTTTAAATTTGTTATGTTGAATGGAAGGATGATGAACAAGAAATTTCACCAAAGAAATAAAAGTTTCAAATGAAACATAACTTTGGCCTTTGTGATGGAGTCATGTTATCTCAAGTAGGAAACATGTTTTAGTTAAAAGAGGGACTGAAAGTTCAATAATCTTTTAACTAACAGCTACGTGTTAGTCCTATTTGGAAGGTAAAGTGGCCAAGCAATCCTACAAGGGCCAAAAAGGTTTGCGCAACTATTCAACTGGAACTGGTACATACTAATGTATGTGGACCAATTAGTGTTCAGACCAGAAGAGGTGATGAGTACTTCATTATATGAATGTTTACTCTGGATTTGGACAGATGAACCAAGTGCGCCATAAGTCTAAAGCTTTTGGAAATTCCAAGAGGTTTAGTCTGAGGCAGAAAAGCATGTAGGTGTTCAAATCAAAACACTTTGGTCTACTAAAGTGTTTGGCTACCTGTCTGGTAATTTCAGGTCTTACCTGATTTAAGAGGGGATTATTTTCGTAACTGTCAACTCTAAGAACGTGTTAGTTGAATGAAGTTGCAGTATGCAAAAATCAAACATTTCTAGACTTGGTGAAGATCATGTTCAGTTATTCATCTTTGCCAATATTGTTCAAGGGAGATGCCTAAGAGAAGGAAATGTACCTTCTTAACTTGATTCCGTCAAAGTTTGTTGTAAAGACACCTAAAGAATTATGGAAAGGGTGCAAGCCCAAATCAAACCATATTCGGATTTAGGGTGCTATGGCACACGTCCTACAACAGCAGTCAAATGAGATGGAATCTTGTATGGAATAGTGCATATCTTTTGGCTACCCTAAGAGAACTAGGGATGATTTCTTATTTAGTCTTAAGGACAAGATAATCTAAGTGAGAACTCACATGATTTTCTTAAAGGAGGACTAGATGAGAAATTATAAGCTCTTAAGTTAGGTTATTCTTGATGAGATTTATCTCAGATCAAGAATTTCCAGAATCTCTAGAAGCTTCATCCACTGTTCCCTTGATTGTTCAAGAGGGGATAGATATATCTCTAAGTGAACAAACAAGAGAACCATGATTGGAAATTCAACATGATAATATATAAGTGAAACTAGTAGAAATATTAGTATCACATGTAAAGGAACAATATCATGGATAAACGGATCCTCAAGAAATTGAAGATCCATCATTTGACCCACTCTTTGTTTTACCTATAAATACACAAGGTCTAGTGCAGTACATTCGTAGTGGGAGAAAACCTTGTTAACTCTCAATTTGTCTCTTGTTGAGTGATATTGATCCTACTAGTTACGATAATGCACTAGAAGATGTTGTTGATCAAGTGTTGCTCAGGCTATGAACAATGAGATGAAATACTTGTATTTCAACTCTGTTCGGTCCTAGTAAAGACACCAAGAGGGGTAAAATCCACAAGGTGCATGTGGACATAAAAGGCAAAGAGAGGATGACAGAAAGGTGAAAACCTTCAAAGCTAGCTTGGAGGCATTTTTTGCCAGACGCCATGCTTGAGTCTATCCAGATTCTCTTAGTTGCTATAAGTCTCAATTATGAGATTTCATTTTGGGAGTTGGATGTCAGGATATCTACATACAACAACCAAAAGAGTTTATAGCAAATGAGTAGGAACACACGGTATGCAAGTTGTGAAAGTCTATTTCATAGACTTAAGCAAGCATCCAGGTCTTGAAACATCAGTTTTGATCAGGTTATCAAAATTTTGATTTTGAGAACCTTGATGAATGATGTGTATTTGTATGTAAAGGATACAACGGAAGACAGTAGCTTTTCTGGTACTTTATGTAGATGATATGCTCCTTATTAGAAACAATGTGGAGGTAATATCAAGCATAAAGAGTTGGCTAAGTTAGTGTTTTGGTATGGAAGTACTGGGGAAGCCAATTATATTCTTGGTATAAAACTCTTATGAGGCCGGAAGAATAAGTTGTTGGCATCACCTCAGGCTACTTACATTGACAAAACTCGTGCCAAAATTCAACATGAGAATTCTAAGAGAAGAATTATAATTCTCAGATGTGGAATTCATCTTCATAAGGAGTGACCAAAGACTTCTAAGAAGGAAGAATGCATGAGCAAGATATCTTATGCTTTGGCAAAGGTAGACTCACGCATATCATGTTCGGCGTTAAACCAAACATCTGTCACGCAGTGGGAGTAGTGAAATAGTACCATTTTGAACCTAGAGGAATACTAGATTATTGTTAAGCATGTACTCAAGTATCTTTGGAGAACGAGAGATTATATGCTGGTATATTCTAGTGGGAGTCAGGAAAAGCTGAGTTTTCAAAAATTCAGTTATTTCAAGTGGATATTGACTCAAGAAAATCAACCTCGAGCTATGAGTTTTTACTAAACTCAGATAACATTAAAGGTGGATCTTGCAGACCCAGTTACTAAGAGTTTGCCTGAACTTGTGTTCGAGAGGCATGTTACTTCTTTGGGTCTTAGGAGGATCCCAGACTTGAATTAAGCAAGTCAGAGTTATTGTTTTCATTGTGCTCTTGGAGTAAGACGATGAAACAATAAATAATTTTCTGAATTTCATAAATAAGGTTTTATTTATTTATTTTGCGCACTATTTACAAACATAAAGGTCCGGATCAAATTGTGGAGTATATGATCATATGGATACGTTCATGGAGGACATGATCATAGGTTCTCACAGTTGATGAATGGAGTCACAGCCGTTAAATAAAGTTGGGCACTTTATTCAGGCTGCAATATTTTATGAAATGATTTTGTTCGAATCATTGTAAAATATTGGTGTGAATTAACATTCACATTGAAAGGATCAAGGAGAGATTTGATTAAGGTTGTTTTTCTGTCATAAGGTATCAAATCTCCAGTTAACTATAGTTATGTGATTGTTCTTAATCCTGAGTTTATTATAAATAGGTAATCAAATAGTTTTCATTCTTTGATTTACCAAAGGGTGAGGTTCGATCTATTGACGGCCAATAACTCGGTATTTTGGGAGTGAGATTATTTGATTATCGGTATTTATGAGATAAACAACATGGAATTTGTAGGATATGTCCCCTTGATATGTTTCGGTACTTGGATATTAAAGACACTGGCCAGTGCATGTAATCCATCAGAGAAACTATCATAGTCAAGGGAATAAATAATTGATTGAGTTACAGAAAACTTGTCAATCAATTATAGACATTCTACAAAGGGGCGATGCATATTCATGTTATAAGTGTTGTTAATCTTGGAGTTCAAGTTCGGGCTTTTAGTGGAGTAGCACCGAATTAGATAATCATTCGTTGATTATCAGGAGCCTTGATTAATAACAGATGGTAGATCCCCAAGCTAGCTTGAGACAAGGGATGGGGTATTTTTCGGATAGATGATGACTTATGGGTTACATGATCTTGGGTTTTACGACTCAAGTTTGTATCCAAAAGAGCAAGTGGGAGATTGTTGGGTTTGCTCTTTTACTAAAGCCCAAATGGGTTATTAGTATGAGAAGAGTCCAAGGAACCTAGAGCCCAATGAGCTAGGGTTTCTTGGAACCCATATAAATAGTACCTCTTAAGTCATCAGCCTCCAAGGTCCTTTTTGTGAGAAAGAGGCAAGCTCTGAATCTAATCAGTGCCCACACACTTCCCCTTCCTCCTCGAGAGATAGTTTGGAAGATCTGCCACAGTCCAGCTTCAAGGAGGTTGTTCGTGCTGCGGCGCTGAGGTGAGCTGTTCGTGAAGAGGAATCCTACAAGGGAAGATTCTACACGAGACCTGCGCACCAAGAGGTAATTGTGAAACAAGGATGATTCAGTAAGCATACCAATGTACTAGGTCCTAAACCGCTTCCGCATAAATCTAAGATTTCCTACAAAAACTAGATAGGGAAGGAGAGCATTTTTGACTTTTTCATACTTTTCATAATATTCCCAAGTTCAAATCCTACAAATAGCTTTTTTAACTTTTATGTAAGAAAAAAAATCATGCTTGATTGGTCTAAGCAAGTCAATAGGTCACCAAGTGACCGATCAGTGCAAAAACCCATCAGAAGGAAGAAACAATCTGACCCATTATTAAATTGAGTTATGGAAAAAAATAATGTTGGAATACCATAATGCTCAAATTTTTTTAATCCAATAAACATTACGGAGACAATTATCCTCTAAACTTTATGATACAACTAATTAGCAAAACACATGTATAACAAAGTATGATCATTTTCTTATAACTAACTCTCTTAATTTGGCCAACTTAATTTACCCACAACTCTCCATTTACAATAAAAGAAGAAAATGAAGTGAGGCCTGTTTATCAAACATTTTCTCCTTGGTTGCTGTTATAGGTAACCAATGGCATAGCAATAGAAAAGTGGGTGAAGCAATGGTGGTATCATCGTGTCAGCGCCTCCCTATGGTTGAGTTCCTCATCCAATCTTCTCATGTAACCAACCACTTCGTCTATCTCACATTCTCTTCTCATTTTTGTTACCCTTTGTACTCATAAATCTATTCTATTATATTCTATGTAATGTAGCACTTGCAAGTTAGCCCCATTGTTAAGTACTCCGCATTCTCCTTCTTCGCTGATCGCTTCTTTCCTTCCTTACCTGCGTATGCCTAAGCTTCCATCTCTCTCTCTCTCTCTCTCTCTCTCTCTCTCTCTATATTCATTCATTGTCTCCAACTGTTTCTGTTGTATCCTTCCTATAGCTTTATTCAAAGTGCAAATTCCCCCAACTGGCTATTGCAACCCGTCACAGAAAGTGCCTTGCAGCTGTTTGTTCTTATTTCTCTATGGATTTCAAGCAAGGTGGGTTTTCAACTCTTTCACCCTCTGCCTTCATTATTGTTATTGTTTGTCTAATCAACTTTGACGATGTTAAAAGAGTTTTGGAGCTAAGCGGTAAGGTTGATCTTTGTGTTCGGAAAGTCACAAGTTCAAATCTAGGAAACAGTTTTTTTGTAAAAATGTAATGGTGAGATTACGTACAATTGATTTCACCCCTACCCTTTTAATCAAATTATGACTGTGCTCATGTTAACATTTGCAGGTTCATGACTCTCAACCACTTTCCGTTACATGTTTAAAGTCGTTGGCAGACAAATCCATCAAGGAACAACACTTTACAACTCGAAATTTCCTCGAAGCTGTAAGCCGATTGTTTTTACCTGATGATCATGAAGCTTTTTTTTGTTTTGTATTGTCTCAAATTTTACGTACTTAATCTGCAGGAGGTGCTCTTCATGCAGGTAGTGATGCGAGGTGGTATCATGAACTATAGGAATTAATTGAGCTGATATTGATTGATATGGTTTGGTATTTCCTCAGGTGTTGAAATTTGAGATTGGAACATCAAATATTGCATTTTTGTTCCTTGAAGACCTTTGGATTCAAATCAAGTGTGTAATGCTTTTAAGATGGAGATATCTCTATATTTAAGGTTGTCTCTTGTATTGTGTCTACTCACTGATTCCTCGAATTTGAATGGTTGGGTTCAGAGGAGTGGCAAAAGTTGGTGAACTGATTAACTTTGAAGCTTGCATGGAAATTATGGATCTTCTCTATGAAAAGGAGGAGACATCGTTTCTTTATAGGTCTCCTCACTCCCTTGCTGCATCAATCTTGGTATATTCCTTAGGTTTTTTTTCCAAAGTACAAGTAATATCTCATATAAGCTTTTACTTTTGGAAAGTTGTATCATACTTTTTGCAGGTTGCGTCTTATGTGATGACAGTTCCTAAACAGAAATGGGAGTTTCCGGTTCTTGCATGGGGTGAGAAAGTGCATATAGGCTCTAATAATGTACTTTTTCAGGTTTAATTGTCTAGGAACTTACTTATACAACCTGATGAACTAACTTTGCGAACTGAGGAACTAACAAAAGGATTTTGTTGTCAGTAAATTTTGTGACTTCATGTAAGGAAGAAGATATCATAAAAATGGTAACGGAGATTCTCAAGCATGTGCTTGAACCTTCTTGAGATATGAGGTAAGTGAACTTTCAAAGATTGAGTCACTCTTGGTATGTGGGTTGTCTTGAACTTTATAATTTCTTAAACTTTGTTAATTAAAAGTAATCAACTGCTCATTCTGTTACTATGTCTCTGTCAGTGCAGTGTGCAAGTATTGCAATTTGCTGAATTTGATTTCTAAGATTGCTTTGAAGTGTACATATCTTACTTTGAACGGAATTTAATGAAGTTGATTGGCTTCCTGCACACCCATGTTCTACCTTTTGCATTATGTTATCGCATACAACATACTCTATTTATTATGTTAGTAGATTTTCTTCCTTTCTTTTTTTCGCTTTTTGGCTATCTGAGGACCCTTTCAAAGTAAAGCATAATGCATTGAAAATATGGATTCTGTGTCCTAGTGAAATACAAGTTATTGTTTATTTCAATGCAAAGTCAAGAAAGTAAACGATACAAATTATTTTGTGAGATTAAGTATGAGTTATCTTTCTGCAAAAATTTGGCAGTTTGACAAATTATTTGGAAATGAGTTTTATCTTAATTTGAAATATAATTAGCGAAGGTAAAAAATAAATGAGAGACACTTGAATATAAAATAATATGTTGTGCATTGATCTAATTCAGAGAGTTACAATATATAGAGACTCTAATGGGCTTATAGGAAAGGCCCAGACCTAATACAATCAGAATAATTACAGACTAATCATATCTAATCATATCTAACACTCCCCCTCAAGCTGGTGCGTATATATTGTGAGCACCAAGCTTGTTACAAATGTATTGAACCCGAGGACCTTTAAGAGCTTTAGTGAAGACATCCGCGAGTTGATCAGAGGAGTTGACAAAAGCAGTCTTGATTTCTCCTGATTGAATCTTTTCTCGAATCAAGTGACAATCAATCTCTATATGTTTGGTCCTCTCATGAAAGACAATATTAGAGGATATATGTAGCGCAACTTGATTATCACAGATGAGTGTCATGAGTTGTTTCTGTTCACAAAGATGAAGTTCCTGAATCAACTGCTTTAACCAGATTAACTCACAGGTAGTATTTGCCATTGCACGATACTCAGCTTCTGCACTAGACCGAGCAAAAGCAGTCTTATCTGATGACAGTTCCTAAACAGAAATGGGAGTTTCCGGTTCTTGCATGGGGTAAGAAAGTGCATATAGGCTCTAATAATGTACTTTTTCCGGTTTAATTGTCTAGGAACTTACTTATACAACCTTATGAACTAACTTTGCTAACTGAGGAACTAACAAAAGGATTTTGCTGTCAGTAAATTTTGTGACTTCATGTAAGGAAGAAGATATCATAAAAATGGTAACAGAGATTCTCAAGCATGTGCTTGAACCTTCTTGAGATATGAGGTAAGTGAACTTTCAAAGATTGAGTCACTCTTGGTACGTGGGTTGTCTGGAACTTTATAATTTCTTAAACTTTGTTAATTAAGAGTAATCAACTGCTCATTCTGTTAATATGTCTCTGTCAGTGCAGTGTGCAAGTATTACTATTTGCTGAATTTGATTTCTAAGATTGCTTTGAAGTGTACATATCTTCCTTTGAACGGAATTTAATGAAGTTGATTGGCTTCCTGCATACCCATGTTCTGTTGGGCTTCCTCCTTCAATACTAAGCCCAAGCCCATTGAGGGGTTTCCTAAAAACCCTAACCCTAGATCTCACCTCCTCTATATATTCATTAGTTGAGGGTAGAGGTTAGGTCAGATTGAGAAAATAGATTTAAGTGAATGAGAGAGAAAATTTGAGAGATCTCTAGAGAGAGTTTGAGTGAAACATCTCTAGGGTAGTTTGATTATCACCATTGTTGGAGAGGTTGAGTTAACCACCACATTGGTGTATTCTGATTACTTTGTAACCATTATTTTCATAGTGAATTTTTGATTTGGACTAGGTCCCGTGGGTTTTAACTTCTTTATTGGAGAAGGTTCTCCCACGTTAAAAATTGCTTGTGTTCTCTCTCTTCTTCTCCTCTCTCTCCCGTGTTTACGTTTTGATTTTTCCGCTCCGCTGCCCGACCTGGTGAAATCCAGGCCAAGGTATTGCTGAGATCTGAGATCGAGGATCTCATTGATTGACTTCCGCACAAAGGCTGCTTAGCCGAGCTTGAGGGAACCGAGTTCCCAACAGTGGTATCAGAGCCCGAGTTCGACGGGTTCCGAGGGAGACGAGATGGAGACCAATGGCATAACCAATGATGGAGACATGTTCAAGTTGACCGCAGATAATTTCTCCTATTGGAGACCGATGATGGAAGATCATCTCTACTGCAAAGATTTACATGAGCCCATTATCCTTGATGAGAGACCGGCAGGTAAAACTGATAAGGAGTGGGAGATTCTGAGTCGGAAGGCGGTAGCCACGATCAGGAAATATATTGATAAAAGCCTCTTTGAGCACGTGTCCGAGTTCACAAACGCGTATGAGTTGTGGACGAAGCTGGAGTCCATGATTCAGAAGAAGACTCCCAGGAATAAAGCATACCTGGTTCGCCGACTTGTGAAGCTTGAATACAAGGACGACATGAGCATGATTGAACACCTCAACACCTATAAAGGTATTGTGAATCAGCTGTCAAAAGCTGAGATGAAAATTGATGATGAGATGCAGGCTTTGCTGTTGTTGAGCTCGCTGCCAGAAAGCTGGGATACTCTGGTGGTGACTTTGAGTAATTCAGCTCCAGAAGGAAAGTTGAAGATGGATGTCGTGACAGACAGCCTCCTGAGCGAAGAAGTCAGGAGAAGAGAACGAGGTGTTTCAAGCACGTCTGAGGTCAACATTGCTGAGAACAAAGGGAAATCTGACTCCCGGAGTAGAAGCAAAAGCAGGGGTCAAGATCGTGACAGAAGAGGAAAGTCCAGAGGTCGGTCAAAGCCGAAATATGAGTTGAAATGCTTTTACTGTGGAAAGACAGGTCATAAGAAGCCAGACTGCTGGACCCTGCAGAATGATGAGAAGAACGGCTCTGTGAAGCCGGATCAGATTATTCCCAAGAAGAGGGAAGACAAGAGCATCACTGCGGTGGCTGCCAACCCGGATGCCGAGATATTCCTCCTTGGTGAGGATAATTATTTGAATGTTGCATATGATGACTGCACCTGGATTGTTGACTCTGGTGCCTCCTTCCATGTTACTCCACACAAAGGTTTTTTCTCCTCTTATCGATGTGGTGATATTGGAGTTGTGAAGATGGGAAATCAAGTGACCAGCAAGATTGTTGGTGTCGATGATGTAACTCTAACCACGGATGTCGGATGCCGACTTGTGTTGAAAGATGTAAGGCATGTTCCTGACATGCGTTTGAACCTAATCTCGGTAGGCAAACTTGATGATGCCGGGTTAGTGAACTACTTCGGTAGTGTTAGATGGAAGCTGGCCAAGGGAAACTTGGTCGTGACCCGAGGTAAGAAGGAAGGCTCCCTATACGTGATGCAAGGAAAGATCAACGGTGGAGAAGCCAATTCTGTCCGAGATGAACCTAGCTTGGAGCTATGACACAAGCGTCTCGGCCACATGAGCGAGAAAGGGCTCCAGATGGTGGTGGCGGCTGCAGTGGGATGGTTGTTGGTGGTTGGTGGCGGCTGCAGTGGTGGTAGTGATGATGGTGACGGTAGTGGCTACGGCGATGGTAGTGGTGGTTGGGGACAACGATGGTGATGGTGATGGTGGCGGTGGCAGTAGTGGTGACGATGGTGGTGGCGGTGGTGGTGATGGTGATTGTGACGATGATGGTAGTGGTGGTGGTGGTTGTAACAACCTCAAACCCTGTAGCATGATATTGTCCGTTTTGCCCTCGGGCTCACGGTTTTGTTTCTTGGGACACCCCACAAAAGGCCTCACACTAGAAGAGGTATCCACACCCTTATAAGGCATGCTTCGTTCCCCTCTCCAACTGATGTGGGACATTACATCCTCCCCCACTGGGAATACAGCGTCCCCGCTGTACACACCGGTCCAGGGCCAGGCTCTGATACCAAATGTAACAGCCCCAAACCCTGTAGCATGATATTGTCCGCTTTGCCCTCGGGCTCACGGTTTTGTTTCTTGGGACACCCCACAAAAGGCCTCACACTAGAAGAGGTATCCACACCCTTATAAGGCATGCTTCGTTCCCCTCTCCAACCGATGTGGGACATTACAGTGGTGGTGGTGGTGGTGATTGTGGCATGGTGGTGGTGATTGTGGCATGGTGGTAGTGATGGGTGGAGGCGGTGGTGATGGTGGCAGTGTCATCGTGGTAGTGGTGACGACGACGATGGTGGAGGTGATCGTATCGGGATGATGGTGCTGGTGGTGGTGGTGGGGATGATGGTAGAGGTGGAGAGTGATTGAGAGAGACAAGTGTTTTCATTTTGTGCCAGGGAACAAAAAAGCAGAATTTTTTTTTCTGTTCTCAAGCACAAAAATTAAACCGGTTCATCCCAAGAACAAAAGAATAAATCGATTTTACCAAACGAGTTTTTTATCCATTTTTATTCCTGGGAACAGAAATTAAAAAAAAAATCATTTCGGGAAGGTTGTTATGCACATCCTTAGTGGTGGGGGTGCTGCCCCCGAATTTTTTTAAAATGCATTAAAAAATAAAATTAAAATATAAACAAGAGAAAAGAAAAATATTCACATATATCAAGCGTTGCTATTTCAAGCTATTTCACGCATATCTCATTTTTTGTAAATGCTATTTCAAGCTAGAGTAAAGTATTTTTTGTGTCCTCAATAAATATTATGTGACCCAATTTAATCCCTTAGAGAAAAAAGTCGACTCGTGATCTCTCTGAAATTCAAAATAGACACATGTTAGTCCTTTTGAAGGACTAACGTGGTTCTTCTTTGAATTTCAGAGGGACCATAATCTCGATTGTGTCTATTTTGAATTTCAGCAGGACCACAAGTTGACTTTTTTTTCTAAGGGATTAAAATGAGCCTCATGATTTTTGTTGACGACCCAAACAATACTTTACTCTTCAAGCTTTTGAAAAAAATTAAATGCTATTTCAAGCTATTCACATAGCAAATCCTGCGGTAGTAGAGATGGCTCACCAACTATTCATATATATCAACCTTTGCTATTTTAAACGATTTTTTTTTTGTGTCTACACTTGTACACATGGGCAACCATGTAGGTCCGCCAATGTGTCCATCAAACAAGCCCTAAGGTGCTTAAATGGGGTGAGGCTCCTAATGTCTAAGATGGTAGGTCAAGTGCACATAGCATGGGGCTTGGACAATTTAATAAATTGGTTCAAAGCTTAGAGGATTGGGTCGACTTGGGGAATAAGAGACTCGCTCCTAGCCCAAGGGGTCCTTTATGGTCCTCAATCCCAAGCTTAGAGATCAGAAATCTCCAGGCAATCAAGTTTGAAATGTTAAGATGTGAAGAAAAATAACATGGAATATAATGTGAAGATGCCAATAATAGGGCGTATCCGAGACTGAGAAGATCATCCAATAAATGCCAAGGTTAACATAATAGTAGCCATTATATTAGTTCTCACTCGGAGATCTCATTGGATGGATAGGAAAATAGTAAATAGTCTCCAACTTAAAATAGGATATGGCTATTTAAAAGTAGGACATAAGAGGCATGAAAATTGGTACATTGATATACCTATTTATGAGATTCAGAAGATTATCGTCTGTTGTAAATAATAGTTGTAGTATTATTTATTTTATTTTTTATCTTCCTTGGGCTTAGCCCAATAGGTCATTCAGTCTTTTTATATAGAGACCCTTTGTATATTTGTAATTACACAATTCATATAATGCAATCCTTATATTTTTCCTTTTTTGAGTCTGGATCATCTCCTTCTACTCTTATACCTCTTCCTCTTTTTTCTGATCCTCCTGTGTCAGATCCATCAACTACATTGGAGATACGAAAGATTGTAACACCAGATTTGGTATTTTACAGGAGAAAACAACCCACACTGCTTCATCAGCAACTTCAATCGTCTGAACCACTGGTAAGTCTTGAACCTCTTGTTTCTAAATCTAATATTGATGCTTTTGATGACTTACCCATTGCCCTAATAAAGGAAAAAGATCTTGTACCCAATACCTTATCTCCCATTTCGTTTCTTCTTCTAATCTTTCTGTGGAGCACAAAAGCTTTGTTTCAGTACTAGATTCTATTTCAATTCCAAAATCAGTACATGAAGCATTAAAAGATGAGAATTGGGCTCAAGACATGCAAGAAGAGATGAATGCCTTGGAGAAAAATAAAATATGGGAGGTTGTTGATAGACCTAATAGAAAGAAAGCAGTAGGGTGCAAACGGGTTTATGCCCTAAATTATAATTCTGATTTGAGAGATATAAGGCTCGGTTAGTTGCCAAGGGTTACACTCAGACCTATGACATTGATTATGAAGAAACTTTTGCCCCAGTTGCAAATATGAATACTGTGAGAGCCTTGTTGTCCCTTGCTACCCATTACAAATTGGGATATAAATCAATTTGACATGAAGAATGCTTTTCTTAAGGTGAGTTAGAAGAATAGGTTTACATGGAAATTCCTCCTGGTTTTGACTCTATGGATGGAGAAAATAAGGTTTGTAGGTTAAAGAAGGCTTTATATAGATTGAAGCAGTCTTCTCACGCCTAGTCTGGGAGGTTTACTAAGGTTATGATGACCTTAGGATACAAACAGAGTCAAAGATATCAGACACTCTTTTTTAAGCACTCCCAAGATGGGAAGCTCACTGTGCTCGTTGTATATATGGACGACATCATTATAACAAGAGATGATATTGTGGAGAGACATGTTCTACAAGCATAACTAGCCTCTGAATTTGAAATTAAAGACCTTGGGAAATTGAAATATTTCCTAGGGATAGAAGTAGCTCATTCAAAGAAAGGAATTTTTATCAGTCAGACAAAATATGTCCTTGACCTTCTTAAAGATTAAAGAAGCAGGAAAACTTAGGTGTAAATCCTCTAGTACTCCTATTAAGCAGAATCACAAGATGAGTTATAAAGAGGGGAGTCCTCCAGTTTATAAAGAACAATATCAGCGCCTAGTTGGGAGACTGATAATCTGGCTCATACTAGACCAGACCTAGCTTATGCTGTTAGTATTGTCAGTCAATTCATGCATAAATCAAAACAAAAACACATGCAGGCAGTGGAGAAAATTCTTCAGTATCTTAAAGTCACTCCTAATAAAGGACTATTATTTCGACGTGATTACAGTCTCTTTTTAGAAGTTTATATTGATGTTGATTATGCTGGATCTATGACTAGAGGTGTAAATAGGCTAGGATAAGCTAGTTTTTGGTTTAAATAGATCAGGTCTACATAAAAAAATATATTGGATCTAGCCTAACTTGTTAGCCTATGTAGGCCCTAAATTACAAGTCTGACCTGACTTATATTTTAAAATAAAATAAAAAAAGCCTTAGCCTAGGCCTGTTTAAGCCTATTAAACATTCAACAATTATAAGAATAACTAAAATAATATTACTTTATTATTCAAAACTATTAAAATCATAATTTTATTTATTATATTTAAAATAAATAATATGATATAGGTCGGTCTATAGGCTTATAGGCCCGACATGTACAAAAAAAAGCCTATGGCCTGTTTTCTAAATAGATTTTTTTAAAAGCCTATGTCTATTTTATTTTATTATTTATAATAGGCTAAGTCTCGCCTAATATAGGCTAGGCCGTAGGTCCCTATAGGTCGGCCTAGCCCATTTGCACCCCTATCTGTGACTGGCCGTTGAATTTCGAACTATGGTTCAAGGCATTTATGAATTATTATGGTTGAAAATTATGCTTGATGATCTCAGAATAAAATGTGAAGGACCGATGAAGCTACTTTGTGATAATAGGTCCGTCATTTGTATAGCTCATAATCCTGTTCAACTTGATCGGACTAAGCATATTGAGGTCGGCCGCCATTTCATCAAAGAGAAACTTGATAGCGGGTTGATTGTCACTCCATACATTCTCTCTCGGCATCAATTAGCTGATATTCTGACGAAGGGACTTCCCTCAGATAGATTTTAAGAACTTACTAACAAGTTGAGAATGATAAATATTTATTCTTCAGCTTTAGGGAGAGTATTGTAAATAATAGTTATAGTATTATTAATTTATTATTTTTTATCTTCATTAGACTTAGCCCAATAGGTCATTCAGTGTTTTTATGTGGAGACCCTTTATACATTTGTAATTACACAATTCGTAGAGTCCGTCAATAGCATTAAAACCTGTTGATTTGGTGTTCTCAATGGATAATATTTTGTTTCTCCTAATTGATACAATATAAGTCATGTTGAACACACCAATGATAGCAACATATAATATTGCTGTCAAAATGAAAAGCTCCACCTAATCGATCACACATTCATGTATTGTAAATTCAGATCAGATAAATTTGAACCTCCCAATCCTATGGCATCCTGTGGCTGTATTAGAGTCTTACAGACTTGGGAATAAAAAGTGAGTTAAGAAGACAATATGCAATGATAATAATGAATAAAAACTTCTAATCTTCCTGGACGATATGAGAATTTTGTTGGTAGCAATCTGTAATTTCTTTCAAAAATCTTTAAAGAGATATGGGGTTTTGCCTTGCCATTGGTGGGATATCGATGTCTAACCCTCATCTAAATTTTTTGTTCACCAAAAATAATAATAATAATAATAATAATAATAATAATGAAAAAAAACTTCTATCTTCTTCCTGCCAAAGGAAATTACATTATAATCCAATTGAAGTAAAAACATTTTTTCGGCTCAGAATATATGGGCTTCCAAAAACTGCCACGAGGCCCAATTTAAATATTCAAGTTATCCGTATGCTTCTCACCGATGGTTGTAGCATACCTTTTATGTTTCCCAAACTCCAAGAACTGGCATGAATTTATGTTTAAGTTATGTTATTAAATTTTTAGTAATTTAAAATTGAAATTAAATTTAATCAAATTATCAAAAAAAATCCAACTTGCTTCTTTTCTAATTTTTTTTGGATATATATATATTAAGATAATTGGTCTTTAACTATACCCCTTTGCTTGTCAAGATATTGTCTCCATTTTTCTTTCTCTACCTAATTTATTTTTTATATACATTCATAATGAAAATTTTAAAACTAAATGATATTGAAATCATTTTTTTATTTTCTCAAACTCGTAAGTTGAAAATTGTTTTTAGTTCTTTTAAATATATGGCAGTGAAACTTATCACAGTTGACGGTGAAAATAGTTCTTTTAAATATATTATAAGCTTTTTAGCAAGCTTAAGCCTAATTTAAAGTTTTTCTAAAAGTGTTTATTACATAAAGACTTTTAAAAAGGTTAATAAATTTAAGCATTTTAGGTTTCAACAGAACCTAGCTTTTAACAAAATAATTGTATTCTGTATAACTGTAATCAAGACAATGCAGCATTGAGACTAAAGTCATCTACACATGACTTAGTTAAATAGGCTGTTTTAAAATCGTAGGCATGACTTATTTGATAAATAAATAACAAATTAGGTCCAAAGTAGACTAGGCCATAAACCTTTAATAGTTACTTGCCTTATTCGCACCCTTAATTAAAATATTAATCGCTTAATAGTAAAAAAAAAAAAAAAAAAAAGGAAAAAGAATAAGGTATCAATATAGATATATTAATCTTTTCTATTTCATTCTATGGAAAATCCTTTTTCAATTATTTTAGACAATTACTATTATGTTGAAAACACAGTATTAACGTTATTGTTAATTGAATTTAATTTGTATATACTGTCAATATTAAAAAAAATTCACATAGTTAATGATATTAATGATGTGTTATCGCATCATTTAATTAGTTTGACAACATACAAGATATCAAATTCATTAAATGACATAATAATAATAATGAGTTGGTGATATATAGTAAACTTTTTTATAATAATAATGTATCAAAATTAAACTATTATTATGTTGAGTTGGTGATATTTTTGAAGTACACAAAAAATTCGGGACAGTAAAAGATAAATTGCAACTTACTTATATCATAATTATAGCATGACCGCTTTTATAACATGATAGTGAGTTAAAATAATATTCTATCCTCTGTCAGAATTAATTAAAACATTTTGGGGCTATGCCCCTCCCATTACAAAAATAAAATAAAAATAAAATAAATAAATTTAAAATTAAAACATTTTTATCTAACTCCACTTTCAAAATCGATCTTATTTTGCATCTTCATGTACTTCATCTACTAATACAAGCACAATTGATTGCATTCATTACTTTCTCAATCGTATTTAAACAAAAAAACACTTTCTCGATCATTTTTCTTAGGGGACGTTTGATTCAAGTATTCTCATGAAATATCTAGACAATTGTAAGTAGCATTTTTTTTTTTGTCCATGTTTGGTTCAAGTTATTTACAAATTTAGCAAGCAAACTTGAATGCCCATCCTTCATCAATTGTGAGCAAAAATAGCTGACAAACACAAAGTAGAAATGCCACTTCTAATATGATATTGTTAGATATGGGGAAATGGATAAAACAAAATATAGATTTACAAAAATTTAATTAATTTATCCGGTAATATTTCGTCCAACCAAACAACTTTTTTCAACTTTACCAGCAAACTCATTTTCTCACAATTTCTCCAATGATTCTATTTATCTGGTAAAAAAAAATTCTCCTCTATCAAACGCTCCCTTAGTATATAACATGATTACACAAATCAAACCACGGCCCAAATATAATAATATTACTTCTATTCCTCATTATTTATTTATTTATGTTTTACACTTTTTTAGTGAAAAAAAGAGAGATGTAAAGTAAAAATATTAAATGGATTCACTGAATGTCATCTAAAAGGATATAAACTTATGTTCTTTCAGTGACTTACACAAAGTTTTATTGATAAAATTTTGTGTAAATCTAAAAAATTATTTGTTTTTCACTTTATACGTCAATAACATGACTAAGAGAAAAAAAAGCAACTTTTCATATTTACAGATAATTTTATATAAGAACACAAGTTTGAAAAATGATATGTAACAATAACAAAGGAGCAAAATTTCAAGACATGAAAAGAGTGTCATGTTGACTTGTGACACTGTTTTCTTCTTTTGCTTAAGCCTCGTCGACCGTGATCAATTCAAAATGCTTCATTCCACTATATTCCAAGCCAACTATGCTGAATTGCTGACTATTTGACCACCGTCCCCCAACCAAAATAATAACTGATTCACTCCAGTGGTCCACCCTAATCTAAATGGGGCAATACCTCATACCTTACTGTTACATCACAGGATTTGTACATGAAAATGCATAGAATAACTGCTGACACCATCGTTTGAACTTTGAACCTTCACTTCTCCAATAATATGAAACCAACTCATGTTTTTCTTTTAACAGTTCCTTAGTCGCTGTTTTTTATTCCCCTGTCGGTGGAGTAAGTATGCACTGTGACCACAAGAACCTATTTCATGACACGAAGGAATAAATCTTTATTACTATTGCTGTACCAAAGATTCAGTACATTTCATCAATAAAAATATTACATATTAACTAAAATTTTATTTTTTCTGTCAGATTTTTTCTCTCTCGTCTGATGTATAATGCTCTTGTTAATAAGATGCGCTGAATTTAAGTACAACAATAATATCAAAGATTTATTCGACATGAAGGCCCCTATGCTTCTTTCATGCTTGTTTGAAAATGGACTATGACTGTTGCTCTAGCTGGCTTCAACCAGATAAAAACATTGCAAAATTCAATGTGAATTCCTTATTTGATTATTTGGTTGAACGTACGGAGGGACCCAAGACCAAGAGAACATATTTTCTTCTAGGGTCAAAATTATATATGAATAATGATATTTTCACATTTTCTTCCTTTTTTTAAGAAAGGAAATTCAATAAACTGAAAAAGAAAATAATTATTTAATCTGAAACGGGACGAACACCAAAAGATTAACAATTACATCCTCGGAAAACATATTTGTTTTCAGCATCATGAAGTAAAATAGACTAAATATAGGTTGAACACATTTGTTTTATAACTAATCTATATATATATACACTTTACAACCAATAAGTAAAACATTTATCGTGTGTAAATATTTTTATCTATTTGTTTATTTTTAATTTTCTACACTACTACTGTTTTTGTCTTTTTTTACCTTAAATGCTTTTTAAAAAAAATCTATTATGCTACCAACTTTCCCAGAATGTCAGAGAATGTTGGTTTTTTTTTTTTTAAATAAAAATAAAACTCCCGAATTATTCTCCAGACGTGAACATACTTTATGCCTTGGCAAGGTCTTCTCGCCACAAATTCTAAATTCTTTAATATATCTCAAAAATTAGGAAGAAAATAAAACAAAAAAATAACTAATAATTATGAAAGTAAAACAATCTTTAAGAAGGGATTAGCATTTTTGCTTCGGTGGCAAAAAAAAATTCTACCACTCAAACATAAAAAAGAATGATCCCATCAGAATTCTTTATTGTTTCTCTTTCATTGTTTTATGTCTCTGTGTGCCAAAAAAAAAAATTCTATCACTGAACCAGAAATGATAATCCTCTTTAAGAATCAGATACTTATTATCAAATCTTTAATGTCTCTTATATTATAGGAAATAAAATTATCTCTTACACATACATAAAAATAGATAAGATCTTTCTTTTTTTTCTCTTTTCTCTTCACATGATCTCACATGGATCTCATACATTTTTATGTATGTATAGTAGATAATTTTATCACCTAAAAACATCAAACTCTATTATCTATTACTAAAAGGGATCCGTTGATTTTCCCTGTGTTCCGCTAATAAAACTATAAAAGTCATCATCATCCGAATGCAAATTAAGAGTTATATCCAACCATTAGTAGGATTCAATGGGATAAAGTAAAATTTGCAACTGGTCACTTGTAGAAGAAGTCTATTAGGAGTGGGAAGTTGCAGGCTTTTCGTGTTCGTAAGGAGGAATAGTGATCACCTACCGGTCAATGTCCTTAGCTTCTTTTCTTTTCTTTTTATAGTAAATATTTGAGATATGATACGTTCA